ATTCTCGTACAATGCGCGCTTCGGTGTGCGATGCCATTTTGGCAAAGACAGCTTGGCGTGATCGAAGGTATCCAAGATCATTACTAAGATGTCTTTCTGAACTTTGGATCGCTCTCTGGCTAGCCAGTAAACTTCCCTGTCCCTGAAGGACTGGGTGAAGTGATGGAGTAGTTGGTCCGAGAGTTTCGCGTGCGTCATGTAGTCCTTATCTTCAACAAGGCGTAGAGACTTAATTAATAAATGAACACTAAATGGTAGTGGCAGAATGCTCCAATCCAAGTTTCTTTGGATTCCTGTATTTGTGTGTGCGAAGCTTGGCGCAAGTCAGGCACTGCGCGTGGTGACTAGGTTGCCGGAATTTCAGGCATTGGCGCCAAGCAATAGTTTGATTGAAGAAGGTCGCACGCGAAGCTGCCTGTTCTTTCTTGACAGCACACCATGCCTTGTACATCAAAAACAAAGTACTCCAGTTTCCGTGAGGCATCTCCCGGGCAGGGAGCCTGCTCGGGTCACTGTTGAACGTGACTTGCATAGAGCCACCCATCAATTGGGCATTGACCAAGCGGTCAAGAAGCTCATCTCTCAGCTGACTATCGGACTTGTTGAGCAAGCTTTTGCTGGCGATCCTGACAGTGTTTGTGTGTTGGCTTGGCTTTGATCAAGAATATAGTGGACAGCTGACACTCGATTCCAGACTTGTTCATGCAAGGGTCTCTGTGGCCATTGCCTCCCCAGCAGTCCAATACATGTGGAGCATGAAGGATTTAACACTCGCGCTCATGATGGCAGGTCTTTCTGACTGTCCTTTCTTGCATTCCAACTCGATGCTTGAAAGCCAAAGTGCAAAACTGCTTCACATGTGAACAGCTTTTCCATACCAAGCAAAGGCTCTGCCTAAGGTCCGGAAATCTTTCCCCCCCAAATGTTTTGCGACATCGTTGCAGCCTCTTCCGTCCAACTGCGAGCATAGCCATCCAGGCCTCCTTGCAAACATGAAGTCCTCGCAGTGACAGGCCACTTTGAGTTTTGATGGACCGAAAAATGTGCTGACTTCACAATTTGCTGACTCCACAACAGGCCAAGCAAAAGTCCTTCTATGTGCCACTGCTTCTTGCCTCCACTGCCCTGCTGGATTGTCCACAGTACCGTGTCCTGCCCTGACTTGGACAGTGACCAAAACACGCAGCAAATCTTCATTAAGATCCTGAAATTGACAACGCAGCGGCACTTGCACTTAGGGCGTCGAAGGATGTCACGGATTCGATCACCTGACTTTCCGTTTTTTGCATGTTCTGAAAACTCCGCATCATCATGGTGAGATGCAACAACTTGCATGCTCTGGAGCCGCTCTATGGTAAGGTCAATGTAACCAATCCCTGTTTGGTGAGACTCAGAGCTGCTTGATCCACTGGAGGAAGCATCATCATGACCATCATTAGCATCACCACTCCTTGTTTTGCCCACAGGTTGAAGAACGCAACAAGATGGTCAGAGTACACTGGTGCATTGTTGCTTTGAACTTCGGGTGCAACCCAGACACGAATCAGAAGAACCGGTTGAATCATCATCATCATCATCATCTTCAAACCTTTGAAGCCCTGGAACTCCATTGTGTAGACAGCCATCCGGATCCCAACGGCCAAGAAACGGCATGTGAGGAAACTGTATCAAAAAGACGAGTGACAGGTAAACTATGAGGTTGAAGTCAAAAGGTTGAAGTCAGTTGAGATTTTATAACAATTCTGATGGCAAAGGAACGAACAGAACTATTGTGGTGTACTGTTTCGAACCAGGCAGGCAGGTGTTGGAATGTGAACTGAACAGTGGACAGTTCGACTGTCAAACAACTAAAACACGAGGAGTCAACAGTCTTTCCCTGCACCGCTGCACCTGTCAGGCCGATGCTTTGTGACACTTAGTTGCCAGCCATCTTTGATGGCACAGTTGCTGACAATGCAGCAGCTAAGTTTACCAAGACGGCACGAAGACACATAGCATTTCCTCCCAGCGAGTGCAAAACCTTAGATTTGTTCATGTTGGAATGAGGTTCCTGGATTCCAAGCGTTCCAAGGTAGATGAAATACAAAATAAGCATTGACATGTAGACAAAGGAGCAGACTCTGGCAAGTTGTTAATTTGCAGCCGATAAGTGGGTATCCCCATCAACAGCATCAATTCACGGCCAATTAAGAAGCGCTCCTTCTCCAAGATAAGCCACTTGCCATTTGGCCTTGGGCGAAGAGCTGTGCCATTAGAGATTTTAGAGACGTTTCACATCGTTTCATTCAATGCGAGGGAAGCACGTGAGGCAGGGCAGTGGCTTGGACTTGGCCACATTCACTGGCATTTGAAGCAAAGATTGACTTGTATTGGCGACTGCAAAGGAGCGGTGCTTCATGGTCAGGAGATCCAAAGCCTACAGAAAGAAAGTCCATGGTTAGGGTCCCCCCTCATGGTTCAGCTTTCCTGAAAAGAAATGAGAAAGTCCATGGTTAGGGTCCCACATGGCTCAGCTTCCCAACTGAGAAGCCAGTCCTGCCTCGACTTCCCTCTTGCTGGTCACATAGCGCCAAGCTCGAGGATATCGCTTCTTGAACTGGTTCTTGGATGCACGCAGTCCAACCTGCACAGAAGAGTGTTGGCAGAAACTCGAATTGGACCTAACTTGCCTTGTGGTGCTTGGCCCAAAGCTTGTGGCGGTTGATCCATTTGGCGTTGCGATTCAAAGGCCTGAGAAACATAGTAGGGCCCAATAAGTAGAGCCTACTTTTCATAAGTTGCAAACAAACACACCAATAATAGAAGCCAGGCAACCTTTTTGCAGTCCTGATTCGGGCCATTTCACGGGCAGCCAAATCTTTCACTACAGCATGATGGTCTTCTGGCAGAAGGAGATCTTGCCTGGGCTTGGAAAGCAAAATGCCACTGGTTGCAACACGATTGGTTTTTGCAAGACATCGTAATCATAGGCAAACCACCATGTGACTTCGGGTTTGCACTCCATTGACTTAAGCTTGTTCAAGATGTACTCACAAAAGTTCTCCTCACAAATCGCTCGTTGGCATACATCCTTCCGCACCAACACAATGTATATGCGCCGGCGGGACAATGGGCACCCAAAATGAAGCCTGAGCAGCTTTGGTGCGAACAACTGCAGAAACTGAGTTTCTAACTCAGCAAAGTACTCAGCAAAGTGGCGGGTCACAGATATTGGCGCAAAGGTGGTACCTGCAGTTCAATCTATAAACAACACATCACAGTTTCCACGGTCAAACCAGTCAAAGTGATTAGAAAGCCAAGACACTGTTTGAGGTGCTTTTCGATCCATTCCATCACTGTAGGAAGGCATCGCTGGAATCCAAGCACGTTTTCCATCACCACTACCTTGGGACGGGCTTGGATAGATCAGTGAGGTTCAAACTACCGGGACTTACAAAGTCGACAAGTTTGCCAAGCCACTTTCGGAGAGTGTTTCTTGATCCGTCGGAGTGTCTCGAACAGCTGTCGAGCATTGTCATCGTCAAGAAGGGCACCATGATTATTGAGAAGTGAATACGGGGTGCACGGAAACCCCGTGCAGTACACTTCGACCTTCAAGATCTCATCAAGGGTCACCAAAAAAAAACACTGTTGACTTCACTTGCCATTGCTGTCGGGAAGCAGACTTGAACTGTTGCTTCTTCTGATCAAACATGTCGCTGGCAATCCTTAGGCCGATAAGGATATATATTCTATATTACGAATATAGCTCGGTAGAGGGTGAGTAGTTATTGTTTGCAAGATAGTCTCTGCTCACACTCTGGAAAGTTCTGTTCCAAGAACCGCCGCTTCATTGGATGAATCTCAGATGCTGACCTGAGCAGGTGTCAAAAAAAGGTTTCCTTGTGCGGTATGCCTGAGGGGACTTGTGAAAGGCTTGGAGCCTGGCAAGTGTTTTAGTTGTTCAGCACGCCCACATGCGCCGAACAACATCCCCAAAGCCAAGAACGGTGTCTCAGCACCTGAGCCTTGGATAGGGCACAAATAGGCACAATAGGGTGACTGGGGGCTTAAGAAGACCATAGAAGACCTGACAACATCTCCGAGTGGCAGTCGGACACGAAGTTGACGTGCTTCTTCTTGGGGAGTGCTTTGAACCACTCGGCCAGCCCTTGGGTTGTTGTCTTAAAAACAGCATTAGTTCACTTGCACCCAGACGCATCGATTTGGAAAGCGTGCGTCCGAGAGTCCAGATTTCTGGAGGAAGAGGGGTCCAACCTCCAAATACCTCTTGACACGGGCTGGCACCTCCTCTTGCTCCAAAGGCTCTTCCTAACAAGTAGAACAGGGAGACTCAGGATAGAGGGGGTAGAGATAGAGCCTGACGAATATTAGAGATGAATAGATTGAAGGAAGCACTCCTCAGAAGTGTCAGAGACATCGCACCATGGTGGAGGGCACTGATGCGACGCCATGCCGCAGAGGCTTTCAACTACCCTGACCCAAAAAGATTCTCGCGGGGATGCGGCCTTTCTCACAAGTCCTGAGACCCCCTTACCAATTAGAAAAGTATCGGTTGCAACAAGACAAGCCTATGTGTTGGTCCTTCTAATGGGTATGAGTACCACTGTGACCTTCATATTGCTGGATTGAAGCAATATTGATCCCTACATATCCTTACATTCTGGGAAAATGAATTAGCTGTGTGGCTATAATAAGGCCTCTACATCAGTCTGTGCCCAGTCTGTATCACCATCAGGTCGTTGGATATATATATATATATAATAATTATGGTCGGTTTGCCGTCGGGAAAACCGAAAAAGCATTGCTTTCCGGCAACGACAGCAGAAATGGCAGATGTTTCGTCGGAGAACCCTTTCGCCCCGCTGTTTTGTCGTTCGGTTGTTGAGAAAATTACCGTTCTTGTACCCCTGATCAGTCTAAGATATTGTCCACTATTGTCCGGACAACTATGTGCCCCAAGCCGACGAAGCGCCTTTTTTGCTTACGACTGTGCCAAGGAGCGTCTACAAGAGCAACACATTGAAGAGGCAGTGCTTGGATTACATGTGGCTTTCCCGCATTTTTCCGGAGACGGGATGGAGACGCGAATCACGTATTCTGCTGTAAACACTTTCACCTGCTTTGTACGGCACAAGTTTTAGAACTAGCCGGTTTGTTCTTCAATGGTGCCGTGTCACATAATACGGGGAAATTCACTCTGGAGTACTAGAGTACTGTGGTTGTCAACTATTGACGAGATTTACTTACTGTAGCATTGTTTCTGCTGTGTGCCTGCGCCAAGTTTTTCGCTGGACGTTGAACGTGTTCTTTCTAGAATTTGGCACAGATTAGTTGCGGGAACATTTATGGCAAGGGGATTCAAGCTCACTTCGAATTAGGAGGCGCTTGGCTGAATGCTCTTGAATCTCATTGGCAAGCTTGTGATTGTGTCGATTGCAAAGTATGCGCGTGTAAGCTGGTTCATCACGATTCAATGGCAAAGGCATTGACTTTCACCAAGTCAGCCAGCTCTGTCAAGTAAAAGAAACGTCCAGGATTCAGGTGAGGGATTCAAGTATGTACCTCCTTTTGGTTCCCAAAAAGGTGTCCACGAAATTATATAGATGGTTTTTGACATTTGAGCTGCGCAGACTTGCCAGAATCTCCCGATTAGAAACTCCACCCAGTGTCAATGCACCTGTTTAACTGCTGTTTAACTGAAACAGCTGATTAACTTGTGGTTCTCTCCATGTCTACCAGTTGAGGGCATGACTGTAGTCAACCTGGCCTGCTGCTGGCTTCCATGAGGTTCTTCTTCCCATACCAGCCGCACGGGGAGTCGACACATGAGCCGGTCGTGCCAGCAACATGCCAAATCCAGAAATTTGCTGTAGACAGGCAGGGCCGCATGGGTTTGGGCAATATGCCTTGAGCTAGCTGCTAGCTCAACAAGATCGAAACATGTATCATGATCACCCATCAACATGTTATCAAATAGTTAATAAAATACCAAAATAGCTTCCCAAGCAGTCATTGTAGGAGGATGTATAATGTATGATCGAAAAAAAAAGGGACCGCGAACCAATGGGATCACGTTCGTTGCACCGGCATCCAACGACCACCGACGTCACATCCGATGCCCCACCTCAGACCGCCGCCTGGAGGTCCCAAGATGTGGGTGCTCCTGTGACGCAACTCTCCGACCACTACGGTGCCTGGGAGCGCGGGCGTCCGGGCAAGGGCAGCGGAGGGGGAAGGTTTGAGGGAATGGACGGGGGGGGGGGACCGGTGCTCCAAGCTGGAGGAACACCTGTGCCGGATGAAGAAGTGATGAGTTCTTGCTGCTATGTGAACGACTCGTAAGAAGGGCAAGATGCCGCGTTGCCCTATGACATGGAGATATGTAGATAATATTATGATAAACAATCAGATACATGCACATGTACATGTCACTGGAGCCTCCAGGCTACCCATGCATCGCTCTTGTATCGCACCACCTCTGAACACGATCGTCTTGGTCGGCCGACGTCGGGCTGTTGCAGACGTGTTGAGCAACAACTTGTCCTAAGGAGATCTAAGGAGTGTAGAGAAAGCCGTTTGGTGGGCAAATCGTTGTTCAATGAATTCGTGATTTGCGCTGGTCATGGGTGTTTTTTGCTTTGGGAAGTGGAAGTGTCTAGCCTTCCAGTTTGTGTCAATCTGTTGGCCTAGTGGCCTAGAGCAAAGTGATTTGGAGCGCATAGATTGTTCAGCTTTTGATCTTCGAATGATCTCAAACACAAGCCAGCGCAAAAAGCCCTCAGACGGTGTGAAAAAGCGCTTCCAGGATCTCCAATCTTCTTTTTTCTTCCTTTAGAGCTTCTCTGAGTTCTTCCCATGCTCAACCCAAGGTGTAGAAGGCAGTTTGGCCATCATCGAGTCCCCTGCATACCTCACAGCTGAACGGCCTGAGCAGCGCAGCCGCATCACGGACTCTCAAGGCGGGAGCGGGAGAGGGCGACGGAGAAGGGAATGGAATGGACAAAACCTCCATACAATGCGGTTGGGTGGGGGATATTCATCAACATTCCACACTATGTTCAATGATCTTCAGAGGGGAGGGATTCCTTTTCAATTTGGGAGTCACTCGTTGGAACTGAGAGTGGGGGTGAGGGCTGAAGTCCTTCGATTCTGAGCAAGCATGACCCTGTTTTTCATGGTGCCAATCCTGAATCCGTTTATGGAATAACTGAATAATATACCTATAGGACCATATAGGACCTATATGAACCCAAATGCAAGTGAAGGAGACCTGAGACTTTTTCCCAATCTATGTAGCCGTGGCCCTCTATGTCCTTCTTTATCTTATTTCATACGTATCAGAGGACCTTCCCCCGCAAGAACCTCCCCCTTGTGTGTTTGTGATATTGACGGCAAAAATTGATACTGGCTAATAGTGATAGTGATTTGCATATGCCAGCTACAATTTCAAGAAATAATTTGATGGAATTTGCAATACCGCAAGATGGCCATGTTTTTGTGCAATTAATGTTAACCTTTCAATAGTAACCCCCCCCCGCCCCCTATAAAGTAAAAGTATTTGTGTCTTTTCTGAGGTAGGTCAAGACTCAATCTCAATTAAAAAAAAAGCACTTCCAGGCCTTTTGGCAGAGGGGATTTGGCAGAAGGGTCTTTCAATTGCTTTCATTTGCATTACTGTAATGTTTATTTTCATTCTGCTTTCATTGCGTTCATGTTGCTTTCAGTTTGCTTTCATTCTGCTTTCATTTTGCTTTCATTATGCTTTTATGTTGCTTTCATGTTGTGTTCATTTTGCTTTCATTCTGCCGTAATTTACTTCATACAATTCTAGTTGTACAATTAGTTATATACTTTCCGGAGCTTTCTGAGTGATCTGCAGCAGCGCTGCAGGGGGTTGATTATTGTAGGTTGGTTTTACAATGTTGGTTTTATAATTGCAGGGGGTGGGAGTCTAAAGGGGTACCTTTTGAAGATAATTGTTTGGTATTTGTTTGATAGGGGTTGCATAAGGAAATCTAAAGCTTTTGGCTAGCCAAAAATGTTGGGGTTTGATGGGCAAAGATTAAAAAAGAACGATTCCACAAAAGAAGAAAAAGAAAGAAGAAGAAGAAGAAGATAGGATAACATAAAAGTAAAAGGGAAAGCACAAGGCAAGGATAAGCCAGCAGGGCTGGATGCTGGGTTGAATACTGTAGGTTGGTTTACAATTGCAAGGGGGTAGGAGTCTAAAGTGGGACCCTTTGAAGATAATTGTTTGATATTTGTTTGATAGGGGTTGCATAAGGAAACCTAAAGCTTTTGGCTAGCCAAAGTTTTTGAAATCTGATGGGCAAAGATAAAAAAAGAAAGATTCCACAACAGAACAAAAAGAAACGTAACAGGCGCATGACAAAGATAGGAGAAATTAACAGTGAAAGGGAAAGCGCAAGATTACTAGCAAGCCAGCAGGGCTGGAGGGGGGTTGACTATTGTAGGTTGGTTTCTTTTATTGTAGGGGTGGGAGTCTAAGGGGTACCCTGCCTTTGAAGATACTTTATGTGTATTTGTTTGATAGGGTTTGCATTAAGGAAACCTCCAGCTTTTGGCTAGCCAAAGTTTTGGACATCTGATGGGCAAAGATAAAACTAGATTCCACAAAATAACAAAAGAAAGGGAACAGGAGCAGGACAAAGATAGGATAAGTTCAAGTAAAAGGGAAAGCTTTGTGGGGTGTGTTTGCTCAGTTCTGAGCAAGGAAGAAGGATTGTGTCCCCAGTGGCTTCACAACAGAACAGGTCTTGCTGGCTTGTGACTGAGTGAGGATGCCATAAGCTTTGCGGGTAACTTTGTGGTGTCTTTGCCCAGTTCCGAGCAAGAAAGCAGGATTAGCATCGAAGCACTTCCAAGCATTGCTTCTGTTGCTAGAAGACACAAGCAGTGCGCCCATTGCTCCTCCTCAGTGGCTTCACAACAGAACAGGTCTTGCTGGCTCCTCTGTGTGCTCTTGTGATTGAGCGAGGATGCCACAAGCTTTGTGGGTAACTCTGAGCAAAGAAGCAGGATTGTGTCCTGCCTGAGCACCGAGGCACTTCCAAGCATTGCTTCTTTTACCAGAAGACACAAGCAGTGTGCCCATTGCTCCTGCTGAGTGGTTTCACAATAGAACAGGTCTTGCTGGCTCCTTTGTCCTCTTGGCTTGGATGCATGCTGCTGGAGACGTGGAAGCCAACAACCAGCCAAGCCACTTTCTGCACGTTTCATTTGGGTGCCGTTTTTGTTAAGCAGCCCCCCCATGACCAAGAGACTGCTCAAAGGCCTGTGTGCTCAGTTTGTGCTGGTTGGTACTTTTGGTTTCGGCGGCTCTATTTAAAAAAAAAAACTCAGCTGCCAGCCACACGCATTTCATATGTCCCCCCGGCCGTCACACGCCAGCGTAGCCTACTATTCCACGAGCAGGCTCAGAAGCCACATGTCTTGACGCCAGGCCCTCCTATGCGTTTTTTGCCCATTTGCAAGTGTGCTCAGGTCTCTCTCTCTCCCTCCTTCTCTCTCTCTCATTTTTTCTCTATCTTTGTCTCTCTCTCTCTCTCTCTCTTGTCTCTCCCTCCTCCTTTCTTCTCTCTTCTTCTTTTTAACGCAACATGAGATCTAACAAACCGACAAAACTGCAGAAGGGTTGATTATTATGGATGTTTAAAATTACAGAAAGTAGGGGTCTAAACAGTTACCCTTTAAAGATGATATGTTTGCATTAGTTTGAGAACACTTACATAAGAAGCCTAAATCTTTTGGCTAGCCAAAGTTTTGGAAATCTGGTCGACAAAGATAAAAGATACAAATTCCTCAAAAGAAGAAAAAGAAAGAAGAAGACGATAGGATAAGTTAAAAATAAAGTGAAAGCACAAGGCAAGGATAAGCCAGCAGGGCTGGATGCTGGGTTGATTACTGTAGGTTGGTTTGCAATTGCAGGGGGCGGGAGTCCAAAGGGGTACCCTTTGAAGATAACTGTTTGGTATTTGTTTGATAGGGAGCTTTGGGCTAGCCAAAGTATTTTGGGGGTTTGATGCGCAAGGATAAAGAAAGACAGATCCAACAAAAGAACAACAAGAAAGAAGACAATTAAAAATAAATAAAGGTCGGCCTGAGATTTCTGAAGCGCAATTAAAGACATCCTAAAGGCAAATTGGGACCTGAGAGAAAAACTGTTTACTATCTATTATTGTTTCATGTCTATAATGAATTCGCTTTGTTAAAACATACACTTTGGGATCTGGATGCTGGTGAAATTAAAAGTAAATTGCAAAATCCTGGCAGGCCAAAAAAGCTGACCATTATAGACGCATGGTTCATTATTGGGAGGTTAACATTATTCTATTTGTGAACAACACTGTGGAGGACACGGCAGTGATTTATTCAACGCTGTGCACGTTGACAAGTAAGTGTGGACGGGTTCAAGGTGACGGTGTCTCTCAAGTGGTGGCAGACCAAACCTTAACCATTCAGATCAGTTGCATATGTTTTGATTGTTTGGCAGATAAGGCCTTGGGGTTTGTCACTTGTGATATGTTGGCTACACGTATACTTTGCGAATAAGCGCCAATACATATATAGGTCAAGGTAGTATTACACCGAAACATTTGTGCGCTGTGTGGTTTGGGAGGTTTTAAGGGGGGCTCTATGATACCTATGATTATTGTTTGTATGATGCTTGAAGAAACAGACCCGAAACAGGTTCATGTCCGTTTACTCTAAGTAATTTTGTTCAGAAATATGGGTTTCCACATCATCATTTTTTCGTCATGTTTTAATGTCCTTCCTTAAACCCATGCTCCTCAAAGCGGGGCTAGTTAGGGGGGCAGTTTGAAAACCAATGATGAAGAACTGGTCCACCCTGGGGCTTTGCAACAAACACCTGCACAGCCTAGTTGCTCCTCTCGTTCTACCTGTCATGGCCACAGGTGAGGTGCCCTGGTGCCGGGGAGTCAAGGTTAAAACTTAGGGCAATTTTCGTGCCCGCAGAATATATAGGGTTGAATATACTCCACTTCGACCACTCGCACCATTGCCTTTAGCAGGAACCTTTGTGACTAGTGACTAGTGACTAGTGATGCTTGGGCAGTCCAGAGAACCAAGGCTTTGGGGTTCGGATGCGGTGTTCCGACATCGTTGCTGCAGCCAAATCGGAACTGCCAGGCTACAAACTTGCAAGCGTTTCTGGAGAGGAGCTTTGACTTGATTTTGTATGCACTTATCTCCGAAGTGACCCACATGCAAAAACATCGCCAGTTTTCTTTTGCATAACTCTCACCATCTCTCACCATATTCAAAGTCATTGAACATATTCAAGTTTGCATCTGGGGAGAATCCTTGTAGAACTGCAGTCGCCACTTGGGCTTGGCGGCTTGGCCATTCACCAAGGAACAGAGTCACAGGTGCGAATACTTCGCAGAATCAGAAGGGTACGTTGAATCTGGGTGCGTTGGTCACTAGTCCTTTTGATAAGACATGCACTGTGCACGACTGTGTGTGTGTGTTGTTCAATGCCCAAGTTCATTAGGGCACTTCTAAGTTCGCGGCAAGTTTGGGTTCCCACCGATCAACGACAGAAGACTCAAACCCATGGGATTGTTTTGCAGTAAATGTTGGCAATGCTGCTTGAGATCCCTTAGCTCCTAGTAACTGTGCAGCCAGACCCTCAGGAAACTGCCACCGCACAGCCCGATGGCCAAGTCCAGCTGGACAGTGGTGGTGATGGTGTTGCGGAGGAAGCTGCACGGCAGGAAGCAGCAGCAGAGGTTGAGGCTGCAGCAGATGAAGTGGAGGAGCTGGGATTCCTTTTTGTTGGGATAGAGGCTAAAGGACCCGACATGGGAGGAACCTTGAATGTATGACAGACTATGACACGAAACATTGTCGTAAGGGGAGCATGGTTGTTTTCTTACAAGGTCAATGCTACATAAATGCTTGTCGTTCTATACTACAGGGTTGGAGCATCCGGATGCCTCACCATGACTCTACAAGTTGGTGCCGGACCGGTAGGGATGGAGCTTTTGGACAGGACCAGCATGGAGCTTTTGGACCAGGGCGTCAAGAATTGGATATATTTAGAGTCTGTCATATTACCTGCAACATTTTTGAACATGGCCTGCAACCTAACCATCATCCACGTGCACCATGCCCGCATGCCAGACCCTGTCCTTTCGACACTGACATTCAACTTTGCCTCAGATGCCCGTACAATCCGGTTTTCAGTTTTTGTGTTATGCAATGTGCTAACCAGCTCTGTT